TGAGATCCGATTGGTCCGTCCGGCCACACCAGCAAAAGCAGACTCTTCTCAGTGACCTCTTCACCATAACACGTTTACAGGAATTTAACTTCTGCTCTTCTCTTCTTCAAATATTATATAAAGTTACATATATAAGGGTTTTGATTCACTCCAGAGCATAATAAACATAGGCATATGCATACATATTCATATACATAAAGACATACATTCATAATGTATGCTAAATAAACCTTTCTAATATGATTACAGTCCCACAAAACATTTTGAAATGAGATCATGGGTGACTATTCAGCACGATACATACATGACTACAAAATCACCACTTGTCCAAACGCATCACTCCTCAAAATCTCCCATGAGGATGTAGATTTCCAGAAAAATAAAGGTAAAAGTTCGCAGACAGTGTGGTATAGTCCATATAGTCAGCTTTCAGGATGAGCGAACGCAAAAGATAGTTTAACGAAGCAGGATGAAACTACCGAGTCCTTCTACTCTTATAAAAACACGCTGTAGCCCCGCCCACATTCTCAAAACCACGCCTTCCTCATTCTTCAGAGAGAAAAATACCTCCTGTTACTTTTAACACAGGTTGCTGGCATCCCTCTGCCTGCAACTATAGCCCACCAGAGTCAAAATATAACCCGGTGCACCTCTCACACCCTTCTTCTCCAGACATTACTTACACAACTCTCCCTTCCTCCCCCTCGCGCCCCTGGCCACGAGTCGACTGTTGCGCAAGCCCAGGATTCCCGAGGCTGGGAGTCACCGAGCTGTTGTAAAACTTACTGGCAAAAGAGCGAGTTTGTGTTTCTCCTCTTCTCTTGTCTTCCATTTATCAAAACCATGTGTTTGAGTGGAGAAACAGACACGTGGCACTGAGAACGAGAGAACAGAAAAAAAGGACGAATCATGTGGGAGGGACTGACAGAAAGAGGGGGAAAAACAATGAAGCGGAAAAATAAAAAAAGGCGTTATGATCATTTTGCCATGGTATTGGAAGTAATACAAATGTTAATAACATTATATAAATATTTCTGTATAGCATAACAATTATAAAATAATCATAGCCTATTAAAATAAATGGAAGAAATCATTCTCATTTTCCCCTATCACAACAGATTCAAGTCAAGTTGGAATTACTTAAACATCCAAGTTGATTGTACTATAGTGTAGCCTATAGGCTAATTGAAATGTGTAGGGCTAAATCTTGATTATTTTAGTGTACTGATGCAGTGTGAACTCTTTAAAACAACAAATCAACCTAATGTGTTGCTGTTTTACTGCCATTTACAAGAATAAGAGAGGGTCGGAGAGAGGAAGAGTGAGAAAAAGATAGAAATATGCGAGAGATCGGGTCAAGGAAGGTGTGGAGGCGCTGGAAAGAGTGAGTGAGAAGAGACGAGTGCTTTCCACAAACATCTGGAAATCATCATGAATGCAATCCTGGACCGCCAAACTTCCTTAAAGCTACATGAGAACACAGAGTTCCCAATCTAATTGTGAGTGCACACACACACACACACACACACACTGACAGAGGAATCAAAATAATAAACAGCTGCAGGGTGACACACACACACACACACACACACTATACTGCCCCTGCCAACTGAATATACTGAAGATTTTTGTTTATCACCCTGAAAAGTTTTCCCACAACCATTTTTTTATTGAATAATTAATAAAGCACTTATGTACACAAACCTAATAAAATAAACCTAAAGGCTTTACTGCATCATACTTTCTACACAACTTTCTAAAACCTATAAATTATCAATACAATAAAAAAAAACTTTGCTGAAAAAAAAAAACTGTTGTAAACAATGTACTACATGTTGTTTATTCTTTTAGCATAATTTTAAAAATATCCTCCATCAGGTTGCGGTACTGTGCTGTGAAATCTTTTCTGATTTTTTTTTTTATTTTCTAAGAATATCTTTTATACTGTTAGTAATATTTTATAATGAATCCAAACAGGACTGAAGCAAATTAATTATCCACACATCACTTCTTAATTATCCATACATCACTCCTAAAACTCCATAAGGTATTAATGATTGGTTAATTAATTTGAATATCCCCAACTGAAAAGGCCAAAGGCAACAGCGGCAAGGAACCGAAAAACTCCAAGTGACCTAATGGTGTCCTAAAACTCCATCAGGTGACCTAATGGTGTCCTAAAACTCCATCAGGTGACCTAATGGTGTCCTAAAACTCCACCAGGTGACCCAGCGGTGTCCCAAAACTCCATCAGGTGACCTAATGGTGTCCTAAAACTCCACCAGGTGACCCAATGGTGTCCTAAAACTCCACCAGGTGACCCAATGGTGTCCCAAAACTCCATCAGGTGACCCAGCGGTGTCCCAAAACTCCATCAGGTGACCTAATGGTGTCCTAAAACTCCACCAGGTGACCCAATGGTGTCCTAAAACTCCACCAGGTGACCCAATGGTGTCCCAAAACTCCATCAGGTGACCCAGCGGTGTCCCAAAACTCCATCAGGTGACACAATGGTGTCCTAAAACTCCATCAGGCGACACAATGGTGTCCTAAAACTCCATCAGGTGACCTAATGGTGTCCTACATCTCCATCAGGTGACCTAATGGTGTCCTAAAACTCCATCAAGTGACCCAATGGTGTCCTACATCTCCATCAGGTGACCCAATGGTGTCCTAAAACTCCATCAGGTGACCCAATGGTGTCCTACATCTCCATCAGGTGACCCAATGGTGTCCTACATCTCCATCAGGTGACCCAATGGTGTCCTAAAACTCCATCAGGCGACACAATGGTGTCCTAAAACTCCATCAGGTGACCTAATGGTGTCCTACATCTCCATCAGGTGACCCAATGGTGTCCTACATCTCCATCAGGTGACCCAATGGTGTCCTAAAACTCCATCAGGCGACACAATGGTGTCCTACATCTCCATCAGGTGACCCAATGGTGTCCTAAAACTCCATCAAGTGACCCAATGGTGTCCTACATCTCCATCAGGTGACCTAATGTTGTCCCAAAACTCCATCAAGTGACCTAATGGTGTCCAACATCTCCATCAGGTGACCCAAAGGTGTCCTAAAACTCCATCAAGTGACCTAATGGTGTCCTACATCTCCATCAGGTGACCCAATGGTGTCCTAAAACTCCATCAGGTGACCCAATGGTGTCCTACATCTCCATCAGGTGACCCAATGGTGTCCTACATCTCCATCAGGTGACCCAATGGTGTCCTAAAACTCCATCAGGCGACACAATGGTGTCCTAAAACTCCATCAGGTGACCTAATGGTGTCCTACATCTCCATCAGGTGACCCAATGGTGTCCTACATCTCCATCAGGTGACCCAATGGTGTCCTAAAACTCCATCAGGCGACACAATGGTGTCCTACATCTCCATCAGGTGACCCAATGGTGTCCTAAAACTCCATCAAGTGACCCAATGGTGTCCTACATCTCCATCAGGTGACCTAATGGTGTCCTAAAACTCCATCAAGTGACCCAATGGTGTCCAACATCTCCATCAGGTGACCCAAAGGTGTCCTAAAACTCCATCAAGTGACCTAATGGTGTCCTACATCTCCATCAGGTGACCCAATGGTGTCCTACATCTCCATCAGGTGACCCAATGGTGTCCTAAAACTCCATCAGGCGACACAATGGTGTCCTAAAACTCCATCAGGTGACCTAATGGTGTCCTACATCTCCATCAGGTGACCTAATGGTGTCCTAAAACTCCATCAAGTGACCTAATGGTGTCCTACATCTCCATCAGGTGACCTAATGGTGTCCTAAAACTCCATCAAGTGACCTAATGGTGTCCTACATCTCCATCAGGTGACCTAATGGTGTCCTAAAACTCCATCAGGCGACACAATGGTGTCCTAAAACTCCATCAGGCGACCTAATGTTGTCCCAAAACTCCATCAAGTGACCTAATGGTGTCCAACATCTCCATCAGGTGACCCAATGGTGTCCTAAAACTCCATCAGGTGACCCAATGGTGTCCTAAAACTCCATCAGGTGACCTAATGGTGTCCTAAAACTCCATCAGGCGACACAATGGTGTCCTAAAACTCCATCAGGTGACCTAATGGTGTCCCAAAACTCCATCAAGTGACCTAATGGTGTCCTAAAACTCCATCAGGCGACACAATGGTGTCCTAAAACTCCATCAGGTGACCTAATGGTGTCCTAAAACTCCATCAGGTGACCCAATGGTGTCCTAACACTCCATCAGGTGACCCAATGGTGTCCTAAAACTCCATCAGGCGACACAATGGTGTCCTAAAACTCCATCAGGTGACCTAATGGTGTCCCAAAACTCCATCAAGTGACCTAATGGTGTCCTACATCTCCATCAGGTGACCCAATGGTGTCCTAAAACTCCATCAGGTGACCTAATGGTGTCCCAAAACTCCATCAAGTGACCCAATGGTGTCCTAAAACTCCATCAGGTGACCTAATGGTGTCCCAAAACTCCATCAAGTGACCTAATGGTGTCCTACATCTCCATCAGGTGACCCAATGGTGTCCTAACACTCCATCAGGTGACCCAAAGGAGAAAAAAATAACCTTGGGAGAACCCAGGCTCAGTCGAGGGCCAGTTCTCCTCTGGCGTTTATGAACTAGATGCCGGATTTACAGTAACTGTAAGGTAAAAATACAAATGTCTCTAAACAGACTTTAAGCACGAACCTGTGATTCACATGCGCATTAAGAATTGATTCTATAGTTATGTGTGTTTGAATATATGTTTGCAGGTTTTCTATAAACAAAATAAATTCTATAAACTGTTCCATTTTTATGACTATTTCATATGTTAGGCTTTACAGGGTTAAAACCCGCCCAATGGAGTTGCAGCATTTCACATGTTTTTCAGTGCAATTGTTTTTTTTTTACAAACTCCAAATAAAAACACATTATATTAAATATATATTACATAAAAATTTGCAAAATATCCTTTAAACAGACACTGTCACGCAAATGAAACAGCACTGCATACTTTTGAGTCTTTATTCAAGTAACCATTTCCCTGAGAACAGTGCAAAACATTCTTTTATTAACCTTTCATTTCCATCTTTTAATTTCCAAAATAACTATTTTCTCTGGCTTATGCGTAACTTGATTACGTCTTTATAAGTACATTATGTTTTATGCTTGTTTTTCTTTTATAATTGTAGTTAAAATTATTCTAAATTGTACATTTCTTAATGCTTTCTATTGTAGAGTGATGTGTCATTTAACGTGCAGCACTCATGTTGCTTTTAAGGGTATATAAATAAACCTGACCTTGAGCAGGGCTGTTTTATAATGTAGCCATAATTCACTTTATGTAGACCTGATTTATTCCAGGAACCCTCACATATGCTTTTATCCTCTCACTGAAACTTCATAAGGAAGTCTTGGTACGTCTGCCTGTGTGAGGATTTCGCCGGAACAAAGTGTCCACCAGGATGAAGGAGGATTTGAGCTCCATCAAACGCTGGCAGCAGATTTCGGCTCATCTCCTCGGGAATTACACGGTCATCCTGTCCAAACACATGAAGAGAGGGGATTGTTAGCGCCGGGCCTTTGTAGAAGCGCTGATGCTGGGAACAGGCACTGCGGAATCCTGCCACGACAATGGCAAAGCGGAAGTTGAAATCAGGCTGTAGATTCTGTTCTTGCAGGGCACACAGCATGGCCACCAGGGCGGCGCCTTGACTAAAGCCCAGGATGCCATCGAAAGGGCCGAGATCCTTCACTGCAGTTTTCACAGCCTCTATACTCTCCTCCAGACCCAGGCTGCTCTCACACTCCTGCTTAGCATTAAAACCTCGTGCCTGGACATCAGAGAACCACCAGCCCCTCTGGTCTTCTTCACCACCGCTGGCAGTCTTCTCTGGCTCCTGATTGGCTGTTTGCAGCAGTAAGATAAGACAGAAAGAGATCAGGTTTTGCAGAAACCATTCGGGATGTCAGGATTTCTAAGATGAATAGAAAGCTCAAAAGAACAGCATTTATTTGAAATAGCTTTGAGACATTGTTAATTGAATACATCTTTGCTGAATATAGAAGTGTTTATGGTGTTACGTGTTAATAATAATAAAACTTTCTTAACGCAAACTTTTTTTTTTTTGATTGGAAATGTCCCAAAGTGTCTTTCGTGTCTCCACGAAAATATTAAGCAGCGTAATTGTTTTCAACATGATTGTACACTCTCAGAAAAAAGGTACAAAAGCTGTCACTGAGGCTGTACCTTTTCAAAACGTACTCGTTTGTACCTAAAGGGTGCATATTGGTACCTCAATGGTACATTTTAACACCTAAAATATACATATTAGCAACTAAACTATACATATTACCACTTATAATATACATATTAGCAACTAAAATATACATATTAGCACCTATAATATACATATTAGCAACTAAAATATACATATCAGCACCTAAAATATACATATACTAGGACCTAAAAGGTACAAATTAGCACCTGAAATGTACATATTAGGACCTAAAAAAGGTACAAAAGCTGTCACTGGGGCTGTACCTTTTCAAAAGGTACACTTTTGAACCTAAAGGGTGCATATTGGTACCTCAATGGTACATATTATCACCTAAAAGTACATATTAACACCTAAAATGTACAAATCACTACCTAAAATGTATATATTAGCACCTAAAAGGTACAAATTAGCACCTAAAATGTACATATTAACACCTAAAATGTACTTCTTAGCACATACATGTACATATTAGCACCTAAAATGGACAAAAGTTGTCCAGTGACAGTTTTCGTACCTTTTTTCTGAAAGTGTAATAACTTGAATTCAAATAAGCACCAAAACTGAATATTAGAATGATTTCTGAAGGATCATGTGACGCTGAAGACTGAAGATGCTGAAAATTCAGCTTTGCCATCAAGGGAATACACTACAGTTTAAAATATTAAGCAGTTATTTTAACTTACTGTATGTTTTATCAAATAAACGCAGCCTTAGTGAGCATGACTTCTTTCAAAAATGTGAATAATTCCAAATGATCAGTTTTAATACTCACTTTCGTTTTGAATAGCAGGAACTTCGTGTGGTGCACTAATATACACCAGCTCCACTAGTTTCTTCAATAGTTTACGTAAAGCCCCAGTCTTCTCTCTAAAAGAGTTTGCATTCTGTCGATAACCATGAATACAGAGAATTCGGAGAGGAACCGCAGATTTAGACATTATTAATGATATGTCAAAGCGTTTGAGCTATTCTGCAAACTCGAAACAATGTACTTCCGCTAAAGCACACACACCCTAACAAACAAACAGGGACAAGCTGAGTTAACAACACCACAGCTATTGAGTTAACGTTATATTGTTGGAAAATTAAAATCACAGACAGTTAAAGAAAGATTATAAAAACATCAGAAAGTCTTCACATGTCTGCGACTGATTCATGTCCGTGTGGAAACATAACGAATCAAGGGTTCCGCTTAGGGAAATATTATCCACAACTTGTTTACAGATTACAAGTTAGCACTATTATTTTATAAAATTCGTTTTTATGTTTTTTTCTTCATGTGAGCTTTCAATAAATTGTACATTAGTGTTTTCCACAAATAAAAACAGAAATATAGTTCCGAATTTAAACGCCAGGGGGCAAGCGTTCCCTAAAGAATGCGTAGGGTGTTCTCTAAGTAGTCTGGAATTTGTTAGCCTAGAGTCTTTTAAATTTGCATAATATCAGAGGCTAACGTATCTATGATCCAGATACGCTAGCCTCTCATATTATGCAAACTGAAAAAGGATTGCAACGAATGGAAATGTTTTACTCATTTCATTTAATTCTCAATAAATAGCCTACAGGCTTAACAAAGGCTATATACAGTTCTCTTTGCACTGAAAGAAAACACAAAAAGGTCTAATAGAAGCTCCCGGATAGCAGACATAGCCTACTGAAAAAAAAAAACGAAAAAACACATATTTTTTTCTCTCAATATAATAGAGACAATAACATAGTGACAAAGTGCACGTTTTAAAATCTAAATTTATGTCCAAAAAGGAAAGTTTCACTGCAGTTAAATATAGAAAATGCAAAGAAAAAAAAACCCCACATGCTGTATGAATGCAAGCGCTAGATAATTTCTGAAAAATTAAAACAACGAAAGAGGCAATACATAATTTCTATGCATTTTTGCTATTACGCATAATGATTTAGGGATTCAGTGTCTCCCATATTTCCAAATGTTTGCATAAGAAGAAAAATCATGCCTCCAAGCTTTTAAAGAATGTAAATAACTTTTTTGTTACATAAATCTGTATGCATTCAATATTTCATGCAATCCTAGAGGGGGAGTTCTTAATTTGGGCAGATGATTATTTCTCTCTGTTGATCTTGGTGAGTTTTCTGGATGATTGTGCCTCCTGAGCACTTGACAATTAATCTAAAAATGAGCAGGAACCCTGGAGGTCTGATGCCTCTCTTACACTCTTACACAACATAGAGTTTATCAGTATAATAATGCTGATCCGAGACCAGTTCTACTGAAACATATGGAGACATTGGGAGAGGTGTCTCTCCCACAACTTTGCAGACACTGTTCATGCACCAACAGCAACATTACACACTATTTAAAATGAAAAAAATCCCTTTAATTCAAATGTAAGGATCATTTTTGGCTTCAATATCTCATGGAGGAGGTTTTCCCCTAGCATAAGATATTACGCAGCACTCGTTCCCTCTTCTAGAGAGAACCGAGGTTACGTTAGTAACCAAGTACGTTTGTCGATTCACTGATTTCGCCCCTAAAATGTTTTTTTTTTACTTGGTTGTGTGTGTGTTTACGTGAAAGGAATGAATATTTCTGCCCAGTGATGTGCAGAGCGCAGGCAGTAGAAACCAGCACTAAGCATATGCTTAAAGCATTAATTAAGGGAGGTTTTGTGGCAATCCACCATGTTAACTTCAATGAATATCTTTAAAAGAAAAAGAGGTTAAATTAATGAGAGCCTCTTTCTCTAATTTAATGTCGTGTCTGTGCATGCATATTGAGTATATGGCAGCCGAAATCCCTTTATTCCCATTATAAAATAGCTTTATTCCAACATTCAAAGCTATTTTGCCAGTTATCACACATTAAATGCTTCAAGGGTCGTCATACGAACGAACGACCCGTTCATTACCTCTTCGCTTTCCCTGTCCTCCGCCTGAACTGCTGCTCTCTTTAATATTCACCGTGATCAACCAGAGAGATGAGTCACAAATGAGACCAAATAAATAAAACAGGCCCTAAGGCCAACCTTGCTTTGGCTGTTTAAGTGATTTATTCTCAAATGCAGCTTGTTAGAGGCAGGTGAGGGTGCTTCATTCCCACCCTTTGCAGCAGGAAGTAACCCCTGCAGGAACGTCACTGCGGAATACAGATGAGATGGAGGATATATCCACAGAAACTGGAACGAAAGCACTATCACCCACAAACAAGTGCACACATGGTCATTTAACAAGTGGACCGCTGGATCAGAATGACATGGATTGCATCAGTATTGGGTTGAGTAACCATGTCAGCAGCACATATAGAATCTGGCAAACAAACAAACAACAACAACAACAGGCGCTTTACAGAAATAGTGTGCAAAATTGAGGTTGAAACTCAAACAAATGAGTGTCAGGGAAAAGAGGTGCCTAGTTGTTATTGTTATAATGTACTTTTATTGTTTTTAATGTTGTCAAAATGTTCTTAGAACGTATTTTTGTAAGCCAGGAAGGTTGAAGATTTATTATGTTAAAGGAGTAGTTCACTTTAAAAAAAAACTTTTGCTGATAATTTACTCACCCCCATGTCATCCAAGATGTCCATGTCTTTCTTTCTTCAGTCGAAAAGAAATTAAGGTTTTTGATGAAAACATTCCAGTATTTTTCTCCATATAATGGACTTCAATGGGAACCAAACGGTTTAAGGTCCAAAAGACAGTTTCAGTGCAAACTGTTCAAAGGGCTTTAAACGATTCCAGACAATGAATAAGGTTCTTATCAAGTGAAACGATCGCTCATTTAATAAATAAATAACAAAGTTTAAGTTTTATAAGCTCAAATGCTCGCCTTGCTCTGTACTGTGTGACTCTCCTGTTCGAACTCGTTCATCAAAATGAAGGAATCTTTTTCCAAGTCAATTCGTTCGTTTCATTCGTTGAATGAACCAAACGACTCGGAAAAAGATTTGTTCATTCTGATGAACGAGTTCGAATGTTACAGTACAGAGCAAGGCGAGCATTTGAGCTTATAAAACTTAAACGTTATTATTTATTTATTAAATGAGCAATCATTTTGCTTGATAAGACCCTTATTTATCGTCTGGAATCGTTTAAAGCCCTTTGAAGCTGCACTGAAAATGTCTTTTGGACCTTGAACCGTTTGGTTCCCATTGAAGTCCATTATATGGAGAAAAATCCTGGAATGTTTTCATCAAAAACCTTAATTTCTTTTCGACTGAAGAAAGAAAGACATGGACATCTTGGATGACACGGGGGTGAGTAAATTATCAGCAAAAGTTTTTTTTAAAGTGAACTACTCCTTTAAGTCTTTAAATGATATAAAGCTCACTCTCTAAAGAACAGGTTATTTGGTCATTCATGGCTTTAAAGTTAAAAAAAAAGAAAAACGAATTACGAAAGTATCCTCTATTCTCAGAAAGAACCAACAATACATAGAAAATACTTGGGCAAAAAATCCAATAGCACATGACCAACTGACACACACACACACACACACACACACCAGCTCTGAATATCAGCTATCATGACACTCCTCTCATATCAAGTTAGAAACCGTCCATTCCCTTACAATATTGACGCATTAATGCGGTTAAAGTGCATTATAAGAAATGTAGGAATATCATATATCAAATAATCTGTAAATAGAGATATAGGCACTAAGGACATTATTGAATTGAATGCAATAAAAGAAGGCATAAAAATAGATTGTATAATAATAATATCCCAGTTCCAGTTGGAATTGTTATTTTACCATTTCGAAAGATGATAACCAGCGAATCTGTCATTTGTATGTTGTTGTAACTTCATAAGCGCACACTGCAATCACAAAGCTTCTTTATCATACACCAGTCGTATCATCTATGAGCTTTAAACCACGGATGCAATCTCTTTCTCACACACACACAGCAGCAACAGTGGAGGTTTAACAGTGTAAGAGAGATATCGCAGCATGCTACCTGTAATACTCTGCTCACAAAAAGCTGGGATTTACTTCTGCTTCTTGCTTCTTTTCATTGTAGCCATAACCGTCATTGTGGGTGGGATGTGCGTATTCCCATTCCCTGCAGCTATCCTGACACAATATTTATGCCTCTGCTGAGTGACCTCTGCGTTTGCTTCACACCGGCTCAGTTCAGAAAGCTTTAGGACAGTTTATCGGACAATTTCACACGATAAAATTCAGTACCACAGACCATCAATAAGTTTAATAAAAACACAGTGGATTTCTGTCATATAAGTGCATTACTGTAAATGGGTTACCTGTTTTATTGTCTGTGATAATCGACAGCATGCAACACATGTCCATCGATTTTGAAGGAACAATTCACCCAAAAATTAATAGGTTGATTTGTTCCAGAAACATTTTTTGTTATGATAGTTGCAAGATTGCAATCACTAAGTTACGTGGTCTAAATGTATTTGTATATAAATCGTCTATAGGCGTAGGACCATAAAATGTTTGTCCAATCATTGAATTTGGTCCGAATGCGATGAATAGATGTCCTACCTGCCTGTCAACGTATGCATTTTCTATTGTTGTAGTACTCGAGACCGGTCTAGTCCGAGCTTTGTTCTCGGTTTTGTCTCGGTCTCGGACATGACCAGACAACAAGACCATAACTGTGAAAATATCTATAATTCGCCAGTATATTAGCTATGAACGAATCTTTTTCCGAGTCATTTGGTTAATTCAACGAACGAAACGAACGAATTGACTCGGAAAAAGATTCCTTCATTTTGATGAACGAGTTCGAACAGGAGAGTCATCACAGAACAGAGCAAGGCGAGCATTTGAGCTTATAAAACTTAAACTTTGTTATTTATTTATTAAATGAGCGATCGTTTCGCTTGATAAGATCGTCTGGAATCGTTTAAAGCCCTTTGAACAGTTTGAAATTTGTACTGAAAATGTCTTTTGGACCTTGAACCGTTTGGTTCCCATTGAAGTCTATTATATGGAGAAAAATCCTGGAATGTTTTCATCAAAAACCTTAATTTCTTTTCGACTGAGGAAAGAAAGACACGGACATCTTGGATGACATGGGGGTGAGTAAATTATCAGCAAAAGTTTTTTGAAAAGTGAACTACTCCTTTAACATGAAATGTTGCGCAATGCACCTTTAAAGGAACAGTTTACACAAAAATAAAAAAATGCATCATCATTTACTCACTTGTGTAGTAATGACTTTCTTTCTTCTGTGACACATA